TTCAGGGTCTCACTACTAGATTGGATTCATAGTGATCTGCCTGTTTATAGCCTCCCAAGAGCTAGGATTACAGGCATGCACACCACCATGCCCAGTCTCAATTGCTGTCTCAGTGCGCCCCCGGGGATTGAACCCCCCCCCCCACCTGCTTGCAGGCACTTTAATTTGCTGAGCTATTTGGCTGGCCTTTATTTTTATTTTTATTTTTTTGGTGGAACCAGGGATTGAACTCAGGCCTTTGCGCTTGCCAGGGAAGCGCTTATTCCACTGAGCCATCTCCCCGGCCCCTAAACTGAATAAGGATTTTTTTTTTTCTCTGCGAATGCCTTCAGGGCACTTTGGGTGGGCTGGAGGGTTGTGGTGATCAAACTACAGCAACCTGAGGCTGACAGCTTTTTGGAAGCAGCCCTTAAAGAACTGAGCTAGGGCCAGGTCCCCTGGCTGGCCTTTAAAAATAAAAAGAAAAATTCTTTTTTGTTGTTTTTTGAGACAGGGTTCACTATGTAGTTCAAAGTCACAGTGATTCTCCTGCTTCAGCCTCCGGAGTGCCAGGATTACAGGTGTGTGCCATGACTACTGGCCGAATGTTTTTGTAGTGTATGTGTATACGTGTGCACTGCATTTGTGCATGATGGTGAGTTTGAATACATGTGCGAGGGCTTGTGTGAATGCAGTTGTGTGAACACACACACACACTGAACAGATATCCAGGGCAGGGCCTTTGTCTTGTTCCCTTTTGAACTTCTGCACCTGGTCCTCTCAAAGGAAGGTGTGTGGAATGGGGGTAGCAAGTGTAACGAAAGCAGCAGGTCCTCTGGAGTCAAAGAGCCCTGGGGCTTCCTATCTGTAGGCAAAGCAACCACTACAAGCCTCAGCTTTTCATCTCTAAGGTGGGTATCCTTGAAAAATCTACCCATAGATTAAAGAGTTTACAACTGTGGAAACCAAAGGAAGTAACTCAATAAATATCACCTAGTATTACACAATACAGTTGTCACTAACAACATCTACCAAATCAGTCAAAGACAACTCACTAGCAACGTTCACTAAATTTCCTTCAGGTTTCCTTTTTTGAGATGGAGCCGTTAGCTGCTGGGCCTGTCTGCTACAGCAGCTGGGAGGTTTACAGATTTGCGGTCCAAATCTGGCCCCGCAGGGGGGTGGGGGTTTGGACACTGCCCATTGAAGTCAAAGATGGGGACACAGTGCCCTCGCCTGGCAGAGCGGGGAAAAGGCGACTCTAGCCTAACAAAGGCTGATCTCGGAGGACGCGGGGCAGTGGCTGGAAGAAACCAGCTCCTTTAGTCTGTTGAGCTGCCCTTTCCTCCCAGCTCTCTCTGGGGACCTCCCTCCCCCATCAACCCGGGGCCTTGTCAGACTGGGCCAGGATCCCTCCCAGTTCGCTGTCCATGTTCACTTTGTTCTTCTTCAGGGTTTTCATCTGAGAAATGAAGGAGAGTGGCAGCATCTCCAAACATCTGATTCCTAGAGCCCTTGAATTAAGCTCTTAACAAATGTTACTTTAAAAGGATTATGGGAACCCAGCAGGCTGGAGGGGCCAGTGACCTGGGGCCGTCCAGCCCCATTCCCCAACGTGAGACTGGACTCCAGGCAGAAGTCCAGAGCTCCGGGAAGACATCTGGGAACATTTACTCATTCTCCAGAATGCCGTGAACCTTTTCTGGCCAGACAATGAGTTGGACATTGCGGATAAATTACACCACATTCATCTGAACACGCGCGCACGTGCACCCCCCTCCCCCTTAGAACACGCACTCATCTTACAGGTGGAAAACTCCCAGAGGACTTTGCGATGTGAGCCACAGTTTCGTGTAGGATAAGTCTGGGGGACACCTCCAAGGGGAAAATGAGTCTGTGAGTGGGTGCAGGTAGCTCCTGGGCATCGACTGCCGGCTCATCACCGCCGACCAGCAGCGCAGGGTGGAGGGGAGGAGCTTGCTTGTTAGATAGCTCCACACCTCCAGCCAGCGGACCCCCAGGGCGTTTTTCAGATCTCCAGGGGATCTGGGGGGGGGCAGGTGGGGGAGACACAGGAAGGGCCGGAGCTGTAAGGCAAGAGGGGCTCCCCCAGAACTTCACCTGCCTACTCCAGCCGAGTGAACTCAGAGATGTCACAACACCACGGCCAATGGACTGCACCAGCCTCTCCTCCCTCTGGCCAGGATCCCTGCTGCATGAAGACATGGATCCCACAGGTGCAAAGGTTGGGGCCCCCGCCTCTGGAGCCTAGGCCGCGCATTTGCTCGCTCTTTCTCCCTCCCTCCCTCTCTTGTCTTCTCCCTCTCCCTCTCCCTTCCTCTCTCTCTTTCCCTCTGTCCTTGTCTCTTTCGGTAAGCAGATGCCGCCCCCGCTCTCCGCCCATTGCTGGCAGATCTTCGTGTCCTGATATGTGGATTTTGTATAAACAGGCAAATACCTGTTCTTTTTTCCTTTATACAAATAATAGCACGACGGGCACGTTGCCTGTTCCTTTTTTTTTTTTTTTTTTCTTTTTTCT